AATTATACTAAAAAGATTTAAATATTAAATTGAATATTAAAGCTAAAATATATATGAAAACCTTTTGGATAAAACCTTAATATATTAAGACTGACGTCAAATATTAATATATATTTAAGGTAAAATATTAAGCTAAAAAGGTTAAATTAAGACCGACTTCAAATTTTAATATACATTTAAATCAGATTAAACTACGCATTTAAGCTTAAAACCTTTTGGATAAAATCTGAAAATATTGTAACAGAAAAATTAAAAATATTTTAATTTGATTATTTTTGGGTAAAATTAAATATTTTAATATTAAACACATAATACATGAAAAATCTTTTTTTACTGTTTATGTTGACAAGTCACATCCAATTTATATAGATTATTAGTGCCATATTTTGAAGTAGGTCAAACCTTGGCATGCTATTATTATTATTATTATTATTATTATTATTAAATAATATAAATTATTTTAAATCTAACAACTTATAAAAAAATTATTATAATAATACCTTTTTAATAATATAATAAAAGAACCCAAATATATTAGATATTAATTGAGAGTAGGAATTATTAGTGAATAAGGTCTCTTGTCGTTCAAGTTTTATTTTTCATCAACCAATATGCCCTATAAATAATGTTAACAAGGTTAGGTTTTGTCAATTTAATTCTCTACTAGTTTTCGACATTAAAATTCTATTTTTTTGCTCTTAACTTTAGTTGGTCTAATGGCAGATATGAAGAGTATTTTTGATCTTTCGAACGATGTTTTATCAGAGATTTTAAAACGTACTATAGAGAACTCCGTATACGATTTCATGCAGATTCGAGAGACTTGTAAAATATTCTACGAAGCCGCTAAAGATGAATATATTTTCGCGACAATGTCCTTGCATAACTATGGTTGTATGCCTTGGAAGATTGAAGCAAAGAAATTATTAGAAAAAGCATTAATGGCGAACAATCCCCAAGCTTTATATAGGGAAGGAATGCTCAAGTGTTTTTGCCATGTTAACTATGATGTTGATCGCGGCGTACGACTGTTACGGGCAATGTCTGATCGAGGAGTCACCGAGGCTACTTATGCTCTTGGTTTGCAGTTGATTTGTATCGAGTCTCGAGCTTCGGAAGGTTATAGAGTTCTACAGGATCTCGATGCAATATACTTTGAAGAAGGCTTCGACGTTATTACGCGCTGTCGACGTGTGACCAGCCGTATGATCGCTGATATCTGGACAACGTCACAACTCGAACCGCTGAAGAGGGTTTACTGTCCTTGTATCGATGATCCCGATCGGTGTTCGTATTGTTTTTGGAATTATGAGGCGGAATATCTGGCTGATTTACTTGAGAGACGAAATTATGGTCCCTTGCCCATATCGTAGTCGAGTTTCAGAGGGTTAAAGTTCCTATTCTGTGTCTTTTCTGTTTTTGCATGGCTTTTTATTGTTTTTGAATTTAATTTGAAAGTTTGCAGTTTAGTCCTTGGGAGTCGTAGTATTAGAGATCCAAGTGTTTTTTTATATGTACTGCTCTCTATTACCAATTTGATATCAATAAATCAAGCAAAAGGCAGTAAAACTTTCAAAATTCTGATTGACTTGCACTTCAAGTTAACATCACTGTCTAAAACTTGTTGCTAACGGCAAATCCATGAGAAAAAAATAGATAACTAATAAAAAAAACTCGAATTTGAGGGTGAGAACTCAAGAAGATATGGATCCGCCACTATCTAAAAACTTTAAAGCAAAATTTGTGTTTCGTGATTTAAGTGCTTCGCAATTGGCGTAAGTATACACGTCGTAAGTTATATTAGAAATTCTTTTTCTTTGATCTTAACTTTAGTTGGATTGATGATGAGTATTTTTTACTTTTAGAATGGTGTTTTATCAGAAATTTTAAAACATGTCGTAGAGAACACCGTATACAATTTCATGTAAATTCGAGAGAATTGGAAAATATTCTACGAAGTTGCTAAAGAGGAATATATTTCACAACATCGTCCTAGCATAACTATGGTTGTATGCCTTGGAAGATTGAACCAAAGAAATTATGGCGAACAATCCCCAAGCTCTATAGAGGGAATGAATGGTTAAGTTTTTTTGCGATATTAACTATGACATTAATCGTGGTGTAAAACTCCAACGGGAAGCGTCTGATCGGGGAGTATTCGAGACTACTTATGCTCTCTGTTTGCAGTTGATTTGTATCGAGTCTCAAGCTTCAGAAGGTTATCGAGTTTTACAGGATCTCGATGCGATATATTTTGAAGAAGGCTTCAACATTATTACGCGGTGTCGACGTGTGACCGTTCGTATGATCGCCGATATTTGGACGACACCGCAACTCGAACCACCGAAGTGGGTTGACTGTCCTTGTATCGAAGATCCCGATCGGTGTTCGTATTGTTTTTGGAATTATGAGGCGGAATATCTGGCTGATTTACTTGAGAGACGAAATTAGGGTCCCTTGCCCATATATTAGAGATCAAAGTGTTTTTCTGATGTATGTGTACTTCTCTCTCTAATGATGATTAAATTGAATTCAAGTAACTTTCAAGTACATATATTTAAATTTATTTATATTTACATGAGTATATATGTTGTATATACGAGAAGTATTTTTTTTAATTGATAACTCAAAATAGTACACCAAAATACACTAATATGGATACATTCTGGTATAAGGGGGGAAAAAGCAGTATATTCAACGGTACGATATTAAGTATCTTGATATAAGAACTCTCACGATATGTTTTTAACAAGAGAAACTCCTAAAACTTTGAGAAAATTATCGGAAGCATGCATGCAATTGTAAAAAAAAAAAACTAATAAAGTTTACAGTCAAACTTTTTTTTTATTATACATATATAATAAAAAAGAGTAAGCTTCATGAGCTTATATGATTTCGATTTTAGTCATCGGTTACAAATTAAAATGATTTAGTATCTTACATTATTAATATGTTTGATTTTTATTGGTCATCGTTACTTCGGTAGTAGAAGTGTCCATAGGAGAGGTGCAATTCATGCATGGATTGTCGATTACTAACATGCAAACTTTGTTGTGATAAGTTCCCAACAATAATGAAGTATTTACATAAACAATGTCACAAATATTATATGAAATATGTATATATCATTGTCATTATGCTTTATGTAAGTGATTCCACAAACTCATTCTGCAATTCATCAACTTCAGAATCGTTTTCTGTTCAGTTTTAGGAGAAAGGAGTGTTAGGGTTTTTAAAATATAGAAAATTAAATAGGTTCGAAGTATCACTTGTATTAAAGCTGGGTTATTTTTTTTTCCCTCGGTAAGGAGAGTTTTATTAATGATAGCTAAAACCTAGTCGAGTACTTGGTTAAAAACATCCTTAATCTAAACCGAAGAAAACACCTAAAAGTAGCAGTAACCACTCCTGAAAAACAACCAATCGTCCCAAATGATCAAAATTGACCAGACAAATACCCTGCCAACCCCCAAAATCAAGGAAAACTAGCAGCAAACTTCTTGATCAGAGTCCTGCTCCAACAGTAACCAACAAGCACGAAGCAAAAGAACATCCCAACTCACCCCAAAAGTAGACTAAACAAGCATGCACCAATAACCAAATCGACCATAAAAATAACATTTGCAGCAATCCAAAAACCAGAAAACGCTCCTACAAAGAGCAAACCCTCCAATCCCTCCAACAACATAAAAAAGGAATCACCATGACACACATCTCCAATCCCTCCACCAAGAACACATCAGCGAAGGGAACAAGACTCAACAGTATAATAAAGAGAAGTAACACATGACTACACCATAAACTAATCCAATTGCCACCCATTCAATTCGCTCAACAGCACATTCAGCAGAGGACAAAACCACCAAACAGCCAGACAATCAAATTACCCTCGCTTTGAATAGATCAAGATTATACCACCTTAAATAACGCTTTTCTCCATACTACGACGCATCCCCTAATCGGTGAATAAAATTAGACCGACTAAAAACATAAAACACCACCCATATAGTTTACCATAAAAAAAGATAAATATAATTAAACTCATGTCTAGGTATAACTGAAGGATTATTAATTTTGGCATTTACAAATGTCGAGGTACGATGTCAGATATTGTTAGCGGAACAATTCCACGAGGCATAGAAATCGGGAATATTAATTTTACACTCATTTTATCATTTGTAGGTGACAAGAATTTATTGTGAATTCTACATTTATCGTCATGTCAATATTATAGATCATCACGTTATCATCATGAATTATTATGTCATCATCGTAAATATCTATATCATCACTATAATAGTTAATATTAATGTTCGTTTTTCTTAGTTAAAGAATCAAATTGATTTTTTTTTCAGTTTAAGGGCTTTATTGAATGAAAAAGTTTAGGAATCATATTGATTTGTTTGAAAAATTATGAGTCACAAATACTATTGAACATAATATACAATATTTTTTTTAGGAATATAACGACTTATAGTAACGTATAAGTTATAAAAAAAATAGAACAACTTATAAAAAAGTATAATATAATATTTTAATATTATTATAATACTATTAATAAAATATTATTATAATAAAAAGAACCCAGATATATAAGATATTAATTGAAAGTAGGAATTATTAGTGAATAAGGTTTCCTGTGGTTCAAGTTTTATTTTTCATCAACTAATATGCCCTATAAATATGATAATAAGATAAGGTTTTGTCAATTCAATTCTTTTCTAGTTTTCGACATACAAATATTTTTCTCTTTGGTTTTAACTTTAGTTGGTCTGATGGCAGAGATGAAGAATATTTTCGATATTTCGAATGATGTTTTATCAAAGATTTTAAAACATGTAGTAGAGAAGTCTGTACACGATTTCATGCAAATTCGTGAGACCTGTAAAGCATTCTGCGAAGCGGCTAAAGACGAATATATTTTTTCGACAATGTCACTGCATAACTATGGTTGTCTGCCTTGGAAGACCGAAACAATGAAATTATTAGAAAAAGCATTAATGGCGAACAATCCCCAAGCTTTATATAGGGAAGGAATGGTCAAGTGTTTTTGCGATGTTAACTATGATGTCGATTGCGGCGTACGACTCCTACGGGAAGCGTCTGATCGAGGAGTCATCGAGGCTACTTATGCTCTTGGTTTGCAGTTGATTTGTATCGAGTCTCGAGCTTCGGAAGGTTATCGAGTTCTACAGGATCTCGATGTGATATATTTTGAAGAAGGCTTCGACGTTATTACGCGCTGTCGACGTGTGACCAACCGTATGATCGCTGATATCTGGACAACGTCACAACTCGAACCGCTGAAGAGGGTTTACTGTCCTTGTATCGATGATCCCGATCGGTGTTCGTATTGTTTTTGGAATTATGAGGCGGAATATCTGGCTGATTTACTTGAGAGACGAAATTATGGTCCCTTGCCCATATCGTAGTCGAGTTTCAGAGGGTTAAAGACTTAAAGTTCCTATTCTGCATATTTTCTGTTTTCGCATGGCTTTTTATTGTTTTTTCAGATGTATATGCACTTCTCTCTTGAGTTAACATCACTGTTTTAACGAGATAAACTCCTAAAACCTTGAGAAAAATCTCGGAAGCATGCATGCAATACTTAAAAAAAACATCTAAGAACTTTAATAGTCCAACTTTTCTTTTTATTATACACATATATTATATTTATACGTAGAATAAAAAGAATAGTAAACTATACGGATGATTTCTTATGTATTTGATCAGTCTTATTTTAGTCACCGGTTAAAAAAATAATTTTAATCTCTTACGTTATTGATACGTTAGATTTTAATCTCTCATCCACTAATTTCGGTTAATTCGGCAGCAGAAGTGACAGATGGGATATAGGAGAGGATGCATAGATTTGGTGTACAATTCATGCATGGATGTGGGAAGCTCATGCATCGTCAACTACAAACGTGAAAATTCTGTTTTTAATTAAATTCCCGGCAATAATGAACTATTTACACTCTGTTGTAATGGATGAATACTGTGTTGATTGATTCATCGACTTCAAAATTGTTTCCTCTTTCAGTTTTTGGAGAAAGGGGTGTTAGGGTTTTGAATGGCTTTTGTTTTATTTTTTTATTGTCAAATCGGACGAGTCAATGACCGATAAATTAAAATGAAATGGGCCGATAAAGTAAGGAATTAAAATTACTCTTTTCTTGAATCAATAATTAAAATTAAAAGGATCGAAAACTTAAAAGACTACATTTATAATTTATCCTAAAAAGAAAATAAATGAAATAAGAAATAAAATTAAACTCGACACTAGTAGATGCCGAGGTATGTATAATTTAGGAGTTATTAATTTTGGCATTACAAATGTCGAGGTACGATGTCAGATATTGTTAGTGGAACAATTCCGAGAGGCTTAGAAATCGATAATATTAATTTTGCAATCATTGTTATTTGTAGATGACAAAATTTTATTGTGGATTTGTTATTATTTTTTTAATAAAATTGGTAAAAAAATTACCTAAAATATTATTATTTATACCTAAAACATTAATGTAACATTTCCGGTAAAATGCTCAATAATAACAAAAACGGTAACGTCTTACCTTAGCCTTATATTAAAAGTGCCACAAGTGAGACTTTTCCTTATAAATTATTACTTCAGCATTGCAAATATCCATATTAACATCATAATGATTAATGTTTGATTTTGTCCATTAAAAAATCAAATATATTTTTCCAATTTAAGAACCCCATTAAATAAAAAAAAATTTAAAAATTATATTGATTTGTTTAAAAGTACGAGTTTCAAATATCATTCACCCTAAAATATAATATTTTTTTGGAAAATTACAACTTATATAAGTTATAAAAAAAATAGAACAACTTACAAAAATATTATAATAATAATACCTTTTAATATTATTATAATAAAAAGAACCCAAATATATTAGATATTAACTGAAAGTGAATTATTAGTGAATAAGGTTTTTTGTCGTTCAAGTTTTATTTTCGACCAATTAATATGCCCTATAAATAACGATAATAAGATTAGGTTTTGTGAATTCAATTCTCTTCTAGTTTTCGACATTCAAATTATTTTTCTTTGGTTTTAACTTTTAGTTGGTCTGATGGCAAACGTCAATAATATTTTCGATATTTCGAATGATGTTTTATGACTTTATCAGAGATTTTAAAACATGCCATATAGGACTCGGTGTATGATTTTATCCAGATTCGTCAGACTTGTAAATCATTCTTCAAAGCTGCTGAAGACGAATATATTTTCCCGATTACGTCCTTGCTTAGTATGGTTGTATGCCTGAGAAGATTGAAACAAAGAAATTATTAGAAAAAGCATTCCTGGCGAACAATCCCCAAGCTTTATATAGGAAGGAATAGTCAAGTGTTTTTGCGATGTTAACTATGATGTTGATCGTGGCATATGACTCTTATGGGAAGCATCTGATCGGGGAGTCATCGAGGCTACTTATGCTCTTGGTTTGCAGTTGATTTGTATCGAGTCTCGAGCTTCGGAAGGTTATAGAGTTCTACAGGATCTCGATGCAATATACTTTGAAGAAGGCTTCGACGTTATTACGCGCTGTCGACGTGTGACCAGCCGTATGATCGCTGATATCTGGACAACGTCACAACTCGAACCGCTGAAGAGGGTTTACTGTCCTTGTATCGATGATCCCGATCGGTGTTCGTATTGTTTTTGGAATTATTAGGCGGAATATCTGGCTGATTTACTTGAGAGACGAAATTATGGTCCCTTGCCCATATCGTAGTCGAGTTTCAGAGGGTTAAAGTTCCTATTCTGTGTCTTTTCTGTTTTCGCATGGCTTTTTATTGTTTTTGAATTTAATTTGGAAGTTTGCAGTTTAGTCCTTGGGAGTCGTAGTATTAGAGATCCAAGTGTTTTTTGTATATGTACTGCTCTCTTTTACCAATTTGATATCAATAAATCAAGCAAAAGGCAGTAAAACTTTCAAAATTATGATTGACTTGCACTTCAAGTTAACATCACTTTCTAAAACTTGTTGATAACGGCAAATCCATGAGAAGAAAAAATAGATAACTAATAAAAAAACCCGAATTTGAGGGTGAGAACTCAAGATGATATAGATCTGCCACTATCTAAAAACTTTGAAGCAAAATTTGTGTTTCGTGATTTAAGTGCTTCGCAATTGGTGCAAGTATACACATCGTAAGTATAGAATAAATATTGTCTCCACAGGGATTGGTGTAACTCTGTGTTTTAACTTCTTGCATTGCAAAAAGGAATAAATTGATAATAGTAGAGGGGTGAATAAACAAATAAAATAAACAAACAAGTAAATAAAAGTATAGAAAGAGATTGAATAAGAGAGCATGTCGAATTATCGTGATTAGTGGTGTGACAACTATTTGGAAAGTCTGGGTAATTGATTGCTGAGGCAACTCGATTGCTAAGACAACTCGATTGCATTGACAACTAAAAATGATTCAATTGCCGTAGCAACTGGGTTTCCTCCTTCAAAGCTCGACAGAGCGTTCTTCAATGCCTTCTTGTTATCCCTAACCCGAAGGACTGGTCAATTATGCATGCCTTAGTGATACATCCTTGCGTTAACCATGGGTGGACAACAACCGATTTTGCACTCCTTTTAGCTATTGAAATATGAATCTTATCCCTGAGATGGATTAACCTTCACCAACATTCGTTCAAATGAAGATCATGCTTGTTTCTTGAATCTAACTCTCCCGATATTAGATAAATGGAAAATTCTCGAGATCATCTCTCAATTCACTCGAAATCAATTAAAGAACCAAGAATGAACAAACTTTGAATTCAAATCGCAATCAAGAACTTAAACAAATCCAAGAGTTTTCACAACCATAAAAACCCAATAACACAAGTCAAATAGATTTAGTTCATGGTTGGGTGTGAAAAGATTACAAGGTAAAAACTCCTCAACAACATGAAAAGAAAATAAAGAAGAAGATGATTGTCAACACACCTTTTCGTCCGGATACAACACTCTCAACAACCCTGATTTAGTGGGATTCAGAAAACAAACATATCGTTAGAGTTTTACTAGGATTCAAACTCCTAAAAATAGGATAAAGTTCTACTATGATTCAAACTCCTAAAAATAGGATCCAGAAGCATTATAAATAGCCATTGTAACTCACTATTGAACACACGATTTACATACAAAATACAGAGGAAAGCACGAAAAAATACAAAGGCAAAGCTATTGTAAACGATTTGAAAAGGAAATAAAATGTAACATCTTTTTTACCTTGATTCGTTCATTTCTCGCATGTGCATATTATTTTTCTTGAGATTTGGTTCGAATAACCCAAAATGTGAGTTGCGTCGATGATCAAAAAGGTGTGGGGTTTCGAAGTTTTGAACCTAGATCTACCCCCAAGGCGTGTTCCTATTTTTAAATATTCAATTCTACCCCCTAAATCCATTTTAATTCGGCTTATAATTTTTTATTTTCCTTTTAATTTGAGCCCCTAACCTTTTTTTCATTCAATTCGATCCTTCATTTTATTATTAATGTTTTTTATTTCTTATTTTTTAATTCCAACAATATATTTATTATTATATATATTTAATTATATATTTTTATTATCTATTATTTTTATTATTTTTTTACTTTTTTATTATTATTTATTCTTTCGTCATTTTAATCTATATATATATATATATTTTATTACTATTATATATTTTATATATTACTATATTTTATCACTATGTATATATGCTTTTGATATTTGTATTACTATATATTTTGGTTATTTGTTATTTGATTATATTACATATATGTATATTTTTCTTTTTTTTTTCCCTTTTTCTACTTTATTTCCATTTTTATTTATTTTATATTTTCTTGATGTTCATTTTATTACTTTCTTTCTTATTCTTATTTGTTAATTGTATATAGATTTTTACTATTATATCTATTTTTTTATTTATTATTTTCTTCGTTTTTTTATCTTCATGTCGAATCTCTATTTCCTTTTTTCTCTCTAAATTGTATTTGTTTTCATTTTTTTCTCTCTCTAACATATTTCTTGACTTTTGTAAGGGTATACTTTTAAAACTGTCAGCAGTAAGTAATTTGGATCTTTATTTTACCTTTTAAATTAGACTTATAATTTTCTTAATTTAAGACAACTGGAAATTACACAGTACCGAAAGGGCAGTTCAAGGGTGCTAACCCTTCCTTGACTGTAATCGACTCCCGAATCCGACACATCACTAGTAAGATGCAGATCATGTAAGAAATAAGGTATCCGGTCAGCCCATTTTGTTTAAAATAAATGATCGATGACGACTCCTAATCATTTAACCCAAGTCGAAGCCCAATTCCGGACGCACCCGAAAGTCGGTTACGACAATGATGATTTGTGCTAATTTCTCTCTCTCATGCGCCTCCTTTTCTTGTGCATTTGGTTCTTG